ACAGCTACATTTAAAGTGTTTTAAATGCAAATGTTTTAGAACCTAAAAGCTACTTGTTTCTATATTTTCAGTGTAAGAAATTAAACTGTTTTTCTGCACATGGTTTTAGATAATGTTTGATGTGACTGCCAATTATACACACTTTGAGTTTATGGAAATGGTTTATAGAGGCCTTTACCTTGAACACAAACCAATTTGGCTTATTGAGACAGGTTTATCAAGAGATCAGATAAAACAGTTACAGTTATAAAGTGATCTACATACACGACAAAGTGCAAACCCGAATAGTTTCAGACACAGCATTCTGACATTTTGTCAGATGAATATGATTAAATATAATTTATAATTCTAATTTCCTTTGTGTGTCTTCAGTGTAACAGTTACAACGTGGTTTTCCAGCTCAGGGCCATGCAAGGAAATAAAAGTGACATCCGTAGCTGCAGGTACTGCAAAAGTCTTAGATAAGTCCACATAAACTCCTCAAAGTGTCAACAAGAAGTTGTTTAGCCATCAGACTGTTTGGTGAAGCAACATAATGCATTCTAGTTTCAGTCTGACAAACAGCAACCGGTTACACAAGTGTAAATAAGAAAAATACCCACAGTATATGGCTTGAAATGAAGCAAAATGCATCCTAATGTTACTGCAGAACAGTTCACTTCACCTTTAATTTGGCTCTTGCACATATTTCTGTAGGCTTCACAAAGCCAAAACAGAGAGAATGAGGAGGAGCTTCTTCCCCCAGGCTATTCGGGCCCTGAACCAGGTGTAGGACTGGACTCTCCCACACACATCACTATAAGACTGGACTCTCACACACATCACCACACACACCACCACACATTTCCTATAATTTATAATCTTGATAATCTCTTTCTGCTATTTGCTCATTTTTTACTGTAAATTTCTAAGTTAATTTGTAAATTTTGTAGTAACCTGTAAATTGTAAATACTGTAAAACTTTTTTCTGTCATTTAATGGTCGGGCATTGCACAGCTACAAGCATTTCACCCCCATGTCATACTGTGTATGGTTGTGTGTGTGTGACAAATAAAATTTGAATTTGAAAAGCCTGTTTCAGCTTCAGCTTGGCTAAAATGCTCACTTTAGACCGTCTGCCTTCAGCATCAACTTTGTGTGTCAGCTGGCTTGCTAGTTTCCAGTTTCAGTGTGTGTGTGCCTGTATGCTTGGTGTTTGGTGAAACATATCGAATATATGGAAGGTCAAAACAGAAAAAATACTTTGGGGAATGTAGGCTACTGTTATTGCATCAATACTAGCCAGTATGGCAGGTTCAGACAAAAACAACAAATTTTTGTTGCCATAGTGAGACAATATAATTTGAATTAGGCAAGCCAGCCATAGAGACACACAGGTTATCTGTTACCTCTGGGTCAGGTCCAAAAACTAGTTCTTATTGTCATAGAGCAAAGTCCAACCTAAAGGTTCATGTTCCTACATGACTGAATTTACAAAGGGGGAACTCCGCTGAAGCTGTATCAGATTGTTATCTTATCTCATGCTACATGAGATGAGCTGGAGATGCTCCAGCACGCCTATGACTAAATCACATTTCCCAGAAAAAGAAGCAGATAAAATTATGCTTCTCATTCTTTGGCTAAACTTGATATTTTACTTTCAGTTTTACTATGAATGATTCTCCTTTGTGTTCTGCTGGGAAAATCTGTGTTACACACACACACACACACACACACACACACACACACTATATACATATATAGAAACTAAAAGTCAAAGTCACTTTTTAAGATATATGTACTATGCTGCTCTATACAGCATTATATGTTTTTAAAAATACCTTAACTTCATTAAGATGATGAGTTAAATTAATAAGAATCAAACCTAAATACACAATATGATTAAGACAAAGTAGGGGGGGGGGCTCTTTCTCCCCATCACTGCGTGTCACTTGTGTCAGGTTTACAACAGGGAAACATCCTCTGATGAGTTTGAAGTTTCTGGTTACTCAGTGATTATTGAATGCAGCTTCCACACTCTGGTAATAGAAGAGTATTTATTTTCTCATTGCAACTTTCTGCACATATTGTTTTACCGCTGTTTGGAATTTATTAGTCAAGATGGGGAAGTATCAGGACGCTGTTGTTGCTCTGAACACTTACTATAGATAACATCACACAACATAAGTTTGCCTTCAAGAACTTTGCCAGAAACGCTCACTAAAATATTAATATTGTTGCTGAAAGGGTTAATGGTAACCTAAAGCCTGAGCAAACATCACCCACTAAGGTTTGCTGACATAGTGAAACTACAACCTTTTAAACGGATCAACTTACGCCCAATCCTGCCACATGAAGTTAGTTATGCACTTATAAAAAGTAGGAATTAATGTATACAAACTGTCCTAAAGTATAATTTTTATAGCAAAATTGAAATCCTTATTTTTAACTGATTTTGGTTATGGGACAGAAAAAAAGTGTTTCCCCATTCCATGACAATAAGCCTGAGTTTAGTTTTGTAGTATAAAATCTATGTTAGATTTACTTCCCCATATAAAATTGAGCAAAGAGCTCTCTCCATGATATAAAAACACCTCCTCAGATATCATAGCTCTGCTATTTTCCAGTTAAAAACCAGGATGTTAAGAAATTGCTTCTTGTGTACGTGTTTGAAGACAAATAAATTTGGACAGGGCCAATGTGCAGTAGCAAACAGAACTAAAACAATGCAGTGAAAACAGTGCCTCAAATGGCAACCAGCCAAGTAACTAGACACACAGCATGTAAGTTAACAGAGTCCATGTTGTTGTTTTTAAATATTTTATTGATATTTGTAAAAATCCAAAAACTAACAATACATTAAAGAAATTACTATGAAATTCCCACACACTTAACCAACTTCATGTTTACAAGGGTTTAAAATCTATATTTATAATATATAGAAATATCACATCTTCAAGTCCAAATGTAGTGTTCTGTGGTAAATCCTTCAATTCATTCAATCAAAAAGAAAAAACTGTAAAAATAAATTATTCAAATTTCCAATTTTAAAAAGACCTCGACTTTCCCTAAAAGCTGCCATCATTTTTTTTAAATTCAGATGCATTTGAAACCCTACTGCTGGCATCCAATCTGTCAGCAGCAAAGCATAGCGTTCACAGTCTGTACAGTGTACTTAAAGAACAGCCGGACAGTTTTGCAGACTAGCTAACACCTCTGAACCTCAGATTTCCCTAAAATAGATAAGAGAGAACCCAAATAAATAAGTGATCCAGTATTAGCCATCTATGAGCGATGGAATGACACAAACCAAAGCACCACTGTTCTTATTTAACCCCACTAACCCTGCCCCAGCAGCCTTCTCACTTGTCCCTATTATCATTAGCAAACTGCAGACAGGCAGACGACAGTCGAGTTCTTCTCCATGCAGTGATGTCACACACACTTAACATTAGAGAATGTGACAGATGTCTGATTACTTAAAAATGACCTGTTCTTTCAACTGCTGGCCCATGGCCCAAATCCACACTAGCACTGTTTACTCATTGGAGTGGAGGGTGAGATATACTGAGTGCTGATCCATACTACCTAAGTGGAAGTGGGTTACGAATCCCTAAACCACAGGTGTCGAACTCCAGGCCTCGAGGGCCACAATCCTGCTTCTTTTCAAACTAACCAGCCCTTCTAGCTTCTTATTGGCAAAGCACACCTGATCCAGGTAATCAGCAGCAGGTAGTGCAGGGATATCTCACAAACAAGCCTGGAGCTTGAGACCCCTGCCCTAAACGGTCTACACCAGGGGTGGGCAATCTCAGTCCACTGCAGGTTTAGATGTGTCCTCGAACCAACACAGCTGATTTAAATGGCTAAAT